TAAAGCAGGAAGGAGCTGTGGCTTGTTTGGTTGTGAATGTCCTGGTGGAAAAATAAGACAGAACATCTTCAGATCTTGAAATCTATGTAGAATTAGGCAGACATGCTAGCATAATTACATTAATTTATGTTTAATATTAGAATAATGCTAATAACTAATATCAAATTTGTCTTGCACAAATAAGCATACAAAAGCATATTAAAGTCATGTGCTTCTGGTACACTAAAAGAGATTAAAACCATGCAGTATTTTTGGAGGTAATAAATTTGTTTATAAATCCAAATTTTGCATCACAATCTGCCCTCACTCTGTATGGAGGTGCATAATTAGTTTAATATGGGACAAAAACGGTGAGTTTGAAGCTTTTACTGGGTATAAAATTATGAAAAAAGCATCCAATAAACTGACTGGTCATAAATAAAAGTATCAAAAAACAGGACAAAAAAGGAAGGGTGGCAAGCAGAAATCAACATTAGTTCATTTACCAGTAAAGTGATATAAACTGCCCCCTTGAGTCCTGCAAGCAGCACTGTCACAGTACACTGGGGAGAGGAAATTAAGCTGCAGTTGGTTTGGTGGCCACTGGGAGACTGTTACTGTAAAAAGGAAGCTGTGGAAAACTGTGGGTTGATGACATCTTGTTACAGAAGCTTTGACTGCAGCAGTTCAATAAGTTGCATCAGTGCTGTGACTGTTGTAAATATAAATGCAGAAAATTAATAATTTTTATGTTTTGTTATAAAAATGAATCTCCTCTTGTTTGTGCCGTTTATGTTCACTGGTAAGAACATTTATACTTATATTAGATAACTGTAATATGTCTGGTAATTCTACATTATATTTTTCACTGAATTTGCTGATTTTGCCTTTGTTTTCTGTGTTTTCTTGTTTTACAGATTTCTCCCACAGTGTTAAAATTGACCAGCCTCAATTTATTTCAAGCAGTGAAGGATCTGCATTTGTGACTCTGAAATGTGAACAAGATGACAGACAACATTACTACATGTACTGGTACAGACAAAGCAGCAGTGGGAATCTGGAGTTACTGACATATTCTACTGGTCAAGATAACTCGTTCATTGAAGCTCCTTTTGAAAAAATGAAGTACACCATGTCTCGGCGTTCCGTGCTTAACTCCACTCTGCAGATACACCCCGTTAAGGCTGAAGACACGGCTCTGTACTACTGTGCTTCTAGTAGAACACAGTGGTTCAGGAAGCCTGAGCAGCTAAACAACAACCTCTGTGAAAAAAATCGCTACATGATGGGGAGGATGGATAAATAGAAAGGCTTGTATCTGTAACTCTGATAGCCTCTTAAAATAAATTTCAGAGATATACCAATGTGACATTATAGGCCAAAAGAAATCTTATAAACAATAATTGAAAAACATTTACTGACACATATAAAGTACAAGAACTGCCTGTGCAAAGTTCAGTCATGTCTCTGCATCACCACAAAGCTGATCTGTTCAGATAAGTGAGCAGGTGTTGGTACAGTAAAGATATTTTACCACCTTCAGTATTGTTTTCATGAAATAAAATAAAATTATGCCATTTAATTATTTACTACTACAAGCTGGATTTGCACCTTTTGGATGATATTTCTCATATCCTTTAAATTATTTTCAAAATCAGTAAATAATTTTCAGTGGCCATGAAGGAACATGTGCATCAAGGGACACGTGAGCAGTTTTAAGGAGGCAGGAATGAAGGGGTGTGGTGTAAAGAAGAGAGAAGATATAACTCAACATGTATAAGTTTGTTAGACACGAGCGACATGTAAATGTTTCACCGCAGAGATGTTAGTTTTGTAATTTTGCTGTGAAAGCAGTTTATTGTGTGATTTCACATATCTACATTTAGGTTTACTTTCTAGAATGCCTCCAGCTCTGTACACATTTGGATTTCTACTCGTGGTGCTTACAAGTAAGCTTAACAGTTTTGTCTTTTTTTGTTGAATTGCAATGCTCAAATTCACCTCACGTCACCTTTGTTTTTCTCACAGGAAAAGTGGAGAGTGTTACCTTTGAACAGTCGTCTGCTCAAGTTGTGAACAAAGGGACTGAGGAGCTCAGGATTAACTGCAGTCATGATGACAGCAACTTACAAGTAATGCTGTGGTACCAGCACAAGCAGAGCGATCAGGCGATGAGCCTCATTGGGTACACAGTGCTTATGGGTGAACCAAACTATGAGAGCCAGTTCACAGACCGGTTTCAGATAAAAAGAAACAACACAGTGAAAGGCTCTCTGATCATCAAAAACCTTAATCTGTCAGACTCAGCTGTGTATTTCTGTGCTGCCAGCACACAGTGACGTGTTTCATTGCGCCGCTATACTAAAAACCTCTGATGGAAAACTAATGACAGTGGCACACTGTTTTTTCTTTTTGGAAGTTGAAACTGTTCATCTTTTTATCAGGGCAAAATTGGGGTATAACAAATCTATGTATTCTTTATAAAGTGTACTGTACCTATATATATGTAACAAATTTCCCTGTTTAACTACATTTAAGTTAATTTCAGCTTTAGTATTTTTATGTGAAAAACTTTTTTCTCTATAAAATATGTGCTTCACAGTACAACAATGCTAATTTAGCTGTTTCTTTCCAATGTTGTGTTTTTTTTTCATGTCTGCTGTAATCTTAATAAACAGTAAAATATATTAAAGTTCATGTGATCTTATAACTTCTGGCTACTTAGACTCGACAGACTTGATGCGCACTGGTTTTGATGCAATGAGCTGTTTTTAAAGAATGATTTATTACTCTAATTATTTAGACAAAAAGTGTTTGCAAAGGAGTTTTTCAACTGTGGAAGTAGTCCTATACCAAAACATCATAAGGGTGACATAATAAAGACTTTTTAAGCAAAGATTTCACGAGGTAATAAGACAAGATTCTCATTATATAAAGCAGTAATATTGAACATTACATTGCCTTTTAAAAAATGATTGCTTCCATTACCTTTGGTTTGTTATGATTAAATATGTACACCTACACAATCGATAAAATGTCAATAAATATATGTCAACATCTGTTTTCAAAGTGGTCGCATTGAAGAAAATTGTAGATGATACGTCCCCCAAATCACGTGGTCGTGTGACCTCATGATGCTTTTGTACTGAATACAGTGATGTTGCAACAGCTGCATCATTTCACTGGAGACAGCTCAATACTAACATGGTTGTCGCAGTTATTTACCTCTCATTTTTTATTCACTCTGGTGGGTGTGTTGGCTGTGTATTTACTCACACTTTATTTACTGCCTAATAAGTGACAAATCTGAGTAAATTCACATTTTTTTCTCTGTGTTCTCTCCCATGACTTCTAGGTCTGACTGTTGTTGTTCTTCAGTCTGAAGATCAAATGTCTGACCCAGGGAGAACATTGATGCTGGAGTGCAAAATGGGTTCAGGGTTCAGCATGAGTGGCTACACCATGCTCTGGTACAGACAGAACCACCACGGAGCTCCAATCGAGTTCCTTGTAAAAGAATATGATAAACCTTTGGGACGCTTAGAGTCATTTATCGATACATCCAAAAACAACTTCTCTCTACAAATAACTGAGCTGCATATGAATGACAGCAGCACCTACTACTGCGCTGCCACTCACAGTGATACACACAGACCAGACACTCATACAAATAACCAGCGTGTTTGTCACAGATGGCATAAAGCAGGAAGGAGCTGTGGCTTGTTTGGTTGTAAATGTCAGAGCACCTTTGTCCTGGTGGAAACATAAGTACAAGATAGAACAGACATCAGCTCTTCAAACGTATGTAGAATCATGTGGAAATTCTAGAACATTTACAATTTACATTACATTTACATTTTGACATCAGATCAATGAAATGTAACGACAGAAATCTGTCAGCATTGCTTCACATTTTTCAAAGCCATCCAATGGAGCATAACAGAGTCTTCACCACGACAATTTTGGCATCTGGGCCTCATGTTTGACATCCCTGAACAAGAACTTCTGTGTGTTTGCAACAAAAGCGATTAGACCATGCAGTCGTTATTGGAGGTAATAGCTTTTTTTGTGAATCCAGGCTTTGCATCACCATCTGCACTCCACAATTTATCTAACACAGAATACAAAAAAGGGAAGATAATTAACATAAGTGCAGTCTATGTAGTTAGCAGATACAGTGGTTAGTGATAAAAAACTGCCCCCTTGAGTCCTGCAAGCAGCACTGTCTCATTACGCTGAAGAAATTAAATTAAACTGCAGTTGGCTTGGTGGCCACTGGGATATGGTTGCTGTAAAAATGAACCCCTTCAGATTGTTTGTATGAAAAACTGTGGGTTGATGACATCTTGTTTCAGAAGCTTTAACTGCAGCAGTTCAATAAGTTGCATCAGTGCTGTGCCTGCTCAGCCTGTAAGAAATTTAAATGCAGAAAGATATATTTTATTTGAAATAATATAATCACAGTAAAAATGAATTTCCTCCTGTTTGTGCTTTTTATCTTCACTGGTAAGAACATTTATACTTATATTAGATAACTGTAATATATCCGGTAATTCTTCATCATATTTTTTCACTGAATTTGTTGATTTGTCTTTTTGTTTTCCGTGTTTTCCAGATTTCTCCCGGGGTGTTAAAATTGATCAGCCTAAGTTTATTTTCAGCTATGAAGGAACCGCAAATGTGACCCTGGATTGTAAACAAGATGACAGTGGCTATTACTACATGTACTGGTACAGACAAAGCAGTAGTGGGAAACTGGAGTTAGTGACATATTCTCTTAGTAAAGATTCTTGGAACATTGAAGCTCCTTTTAAAAATTCACAGTACACCATGTCTCGGCCTTCCTTGCTTGAATCCACCCTGAAGATACACCTCGTTGGGGCTGGAGACACGGCTCTGTATTACTGTGCTTCTAGTATAGCACAGTGGTTCAGGAAGCCTGAGCAGCTAAACAACAACCTCAATGAAAAAAACACGACGAGTTGGGGAAGATGAATAAATAGGAATGATTATGTGTTTAACTCTGATGGTCCCTTAAAATGAATTTAAAGGAAATACCAATATGACATGAACAGATACAAATATTTTTATAAAAAACAAATAAATAACCTTTATAAATACACATAAAGTACAAGAACTGCCATTTCACAGTTCAGTCATGTCCCTGCATCACCACAACGCTGATCTGTTCAGATAAGTGAGCAGGTGTTGGTACAGTAAAGATATTTTACTACATTCAGTATTATCCTCACAAACAGTTTGTTATCAACATCCATGTGCTTTAGTTTCTACTTCATTCATTTATTTATTTTGATGTGTTCGGTTTGATCAGATCAAGTTCAGAAGATTATCACACACTGACCTCTACTGGGTTTATACGGGATAACAATTAATCCAAATAAAGTGTAATTTATACTAAATATTATAGCTACTGTACACATGGTCTCATAAAAATGCTTAGTTTGCACTATTAAGTCTGTTCTTAATGAAATTTTAGGTTTAAACATGAGAACAATTCTTGTGCTGCTAATTATTTACTCATCCGTAAATGTCAAACATGTAAATATACATCAGCTTTTACACATTGATCTGATGGGATGTTTGAATATATAATTAAGTAAGTTCTGAAATGTTCCAAAATACATCATAAAAGTTAGCAATAAATTAGAAATTTGAATAAGAATAATTAAAATGTAAGTTATTATAAGGTAAGTATAGCCCAGGCTAATTTGCAGTGGAGCAAATGTAACTAAATAAATATATTTAGACATAAATACCGTTTTAAGAAATCTGTACATAACTACGTTACTCAGTATGTGATTACTTTAGTTAGCTCAAAGTTATGTTGTGTAAAATATATCAAATAAATATTTTTTACATCAGTACCTACATACAATTTTATATTATTATGAAATGGCTCATTGTGTTCTTGACTATGACTATTATCTTACAATTCACTTCAGAATAATAACTTTTGCTCTTTTATTTCTATGATTCTATATCAACACAATCCACTATTATGTTATAATTTGTCAAAATGTCCTTTCAGTTATACAAACTATATCATTTATGTGATAAATTTACTCTTATGAACTCGACCAGACAGCAGAAGTTCATCCATAAACAATAAGATTTTAATTTACTGGTATTACTGGTATCAAATACTTAGTGCTTGGTTGTTTTGCATACCATGCTTTTATAGCGTTCTATGCGGGGTCTTATCTGAAGGTTACAGTTACCAAAATGCGTGAACATCCATTTATAGTATTTCTCATCTTGCTTGCCGATAACTGATTGGATAAAGCGCTGTGACCACCAGAGATGTCACTTCCTCTGAGCAACTACAAACACAAATAAAAAAGTCTCTTTGTGTTTTTTCTGCCCTCCCTTCCTGCTTCTTTTCTTAGCTGTCACAGAAATAGCAGCAGTCAGGTTGGAGCGCGTTCATCCGTCAGTCAGCCCGACCTGCACAGCTGCGCTCACAGGCAGACAGAGATGGAGGCTGAGATAGGGAGAAGCGGGGTGGGGGAAGGAGAGAGGAGAGAACGAAAAAGACGCAAGGTTTTTGTGTGATGCTTTTTCACCGTGGGGACAGGGGGCCACGGTGATACAATCCTATAGAGCCGTCGTACAAAAACCTCCTCCCATTAAAATGCATTGTGAAGACTGCTACATGCAACTTAAAACGTTGTTAGAGCAGAAAAATCACTAATCTGAAGGTGTCTGGGATGGAGGAACACTTTGGTAGTGAAAACCTATTCCTAAGAAGAAATTTTAATGGGAAATAAGTTTTTAAAGACTTGCAATTCATATTTGCAGACGTTGGATGTTTGTATTGTTATCTCAACAAACACAAAACAAATTTGGTCATTGTGAAGCTCACCCTCCATGTTTAAAGTGTTTAAAGATCATCTGGATCATTAGAATATGTGTAAACTGGATGTTTCTGGAAAGTTTTGAGAGTTTTTGGCAGAGGACGACATCAGTGTGACTCTGGAACTGAAGCTTACTTTGGAAAAGGAACAAAACTCACTGTTTTAGGTAAGTTGGATATCTCAAAGCTTTGATTCGTCCTATTAAACATAAATTGGTATAAATGCTGGTTTGACAGTGAAGGAAAATTCTGTTCTCATAAAAATCTAAAATATTGAGCTAAAAACGGAGCACTGTGAGCTACAATAATCCTGCTTACTTTGGCCAAGGAACCAAGCTGACAGTTTTAGGTAAATATTCCACTTTACTTCCATGTTTTGACAAATATGACTTTGGCTACAGCCTCAGTGTTAACATAAATGTT